TAGGGAAAGGGCTGTCTTAGCAACGGGCCAATGGGGCACTGAAGCCTGAAGGCCACCATCCTACTGTTGGAGACCCGTTGTTACCTATCCGCTGAGAACAGACCTCGCATCAGCCCAGAATTCCTTCTCCAACAGGTCACTTAGGAACTTGACCCACTCCGTCTTCAGTCCCCCAAGACACCTTGTTGTCTCTTCCTCAGATATCAACAGTGATGGTGTCCTGGATGAGCAGGAGCTGGAGGCCCTCTTCACCAAGGAGGTGAGTATCTTGGAAGCCATGGGCGCAGAGGATGCCCAGGTCAGCGACGTGTCCCTTCAGGATCCTAGTAGTCCCCTCAGGTCCCCCTGGATGTGAGTTCAGGGGGAAAACTACAACTCCCAGCAGCCCCTGAGGCAAAAAGAGGCTGCCAGGAGTGGCAGGGTGTCCCAAGGGCTGATGGGAGTTGAAGTTGTCTGTGTGTGTTAAGAGGCTGGGTAGCCTGGGAAGGAGCTTGCCCTGGACCTCTCAGTACATCCTGCTTTTTGCTTGACCCTGCAGCTGGAGAAGGTGTATGACCCCAAGAATGAGGAAGATGACATGCGGGAGATGGAGGAGGAGCGGCTGCGCATGCGGGAGCACGTGATGAAGAATGTGAGAGGAGGGCCCCGGGCCGTGGGTGAGGGCGGGGGTAGGGGTGGAGGGAGGTCCAGCTCTGTTGCTTACCCTTACCTGGCTCCCCAGGTGGACACCAACCAGGACCGCCTCGTGACCCTGGAGGAGTTCCTTGTATCCACGCAGAGGAAGGAGTTCGGGGACACCGGGGAGGGCTGGGAGGTAAGGACACGGAAGATACTCTGGATCCTGACTGTGTCTCTCTCCCAGACATAACCCTTCTTTCGGGGTCTCTGGCCACTTCTCTTTCTCTCTGGGTCTCTGACCTCCAAGCCCCCCAGCTCTCTGTCCCCCCAACATCCTGGGTCGTTGTCTCCCCGCCTCTGGGTCCCTGTTCTCCCACTGCTCCACTCTGGGTCTTTATCTCCCTTCCCACCTCCCACTCAGGTCTCTCCATCCACACGCATGGCCGAGGCCTCCCAGCCTTCCCTGAACCTCCTCCATTAGCGGGGCCAGGGCTAGAGCCCCCCTGCTGATGGCCCCTGTCCTCACCCCGGCAGACAGTGGAGATGCACCCTGCCTACACGGAGGACGAGCTGAGGCGCTTTGAGGAGGAGCTGGTTGCCCGGGAGGCAGAGCTCAATGCCAAGGCCCAGCGCCTCAGCCAGGAAACCGAGGCTCTGGGGCGCTCCCAGGGCCGCCTGGAGGCCCAGAAGAGAGAGCTGCAGCAGGTGACTGGCCAGGGAAGGGGGTCCATCCTGTGAGTCCCTGGTGGCCCTTGTCCTAGTGTGTCCAGAGTGCGGACGGCTTACAGCCACTGTGTTAATCACTGGTAGATCCTTGGGTAGCAGCTGCCATCTTGAGTAAGGGCAGACATTGTCCCCATCCCTGGCTGCTCTGTGGCTGCCATGTTGGACAAGGGCAGTGAGGTTGTAAGCTGGAGAGAGGGGAAAGGCCGAGGAGGGAGGAGGCGGCTTCCCTGTCCTAAGGTGTGACCCAAGCCATGACCAGGGAGGGAGAACTGGATCTTTAACTAGTATTAAGCCCAACTCTCAATGAGGGAGAAAAACTGAGGCCCATGGAGAAGGGACTGGTCCATGACCACTTAGCAGGTTGCCATGGAGACTCAACTTCATACCCTCTTGCCTCTGTGATCTCCCCCACCCCCTGCAGGCTGTTCTGCAAATGGAACAGAGGAAACAGCAGCAGCAAGTCCACAACAACCCAGCACCCGGCCCCGAGGGACAGCTCAAGTTCCACCCAGACACAGGTGCTGGCCCCTGGGCCCAGGGGGCAGGGAAGGAGCTGGGGTCCCAGACTCCTGGGTCTGAGGGAGGAGGGGCTGGTACATCTAGTGCTACCATTTTCTTCCTCCATTTCCAGATGATGCACCTGTCCCAGCTCCAGCTGGTGACCAGAAGGATGTGGATCCTTCAGAAAAGAAAGTTCCAGAACAGACCCCCAAGCTGCCCCAGCTGGAGTCACAGCACCTGTGATCTTTCTGGGACCCCGGGTTCCTACTGAAGCTGATGGGAGGGGGATGAGATGTCACAATCAACCTTCTTTGGGGGCCTGGCAACACCTGTGGCCTGCTGGGTGGGGTGGGATGCGGGGACAGGATGGCACTTTCCATATTGCTGCCGAAGCCATGTATCTGCTGCCTCAGCGTCCACAGCCTTCTAGTCTGTGGTCCCTTCTTCTTGTCCCCCTCCGAGGGACCTGTCTTCGCTTGTCCAGTCAAGTGCTCACTGGCTCAGCCTACCTTAGGGAAGCCCCCTCCCTCCCAAAAGGGTCTGCTCCATGCCTGCCTTTCTAGTTGCTTTGGCCTCAATGCCCAGGTTGTGGCCACTCTGGAATCCTGCATCCCCACAGCTACTGGAATCCTGCCTGCTGCTCTGGGCCCAGCTTCTGTTGGTTTATGGGGCTTGGGTGGTCCCTTAAGACCTTTCTCTACCTTTTGTGGGACCAGCGATGCCTCAAAAACAGTGTCTCCCCACGGCTGGGTGTGAGGGCCAGAAGAGTCCTCAGCATAGCTGATCACCTCTCATACCAAGAGCCCTGACATCTTGGCCCCTAGCCCCTTCCCCAGACAACCCCAGAAGGGTCACAGAGCTGACTCCACCCCAGGATCAGGTTCAAGCCCCTCAGCCTTTCTGGCCTTATCTCACATGGCTCCCTGCCCTGCTCTGTACTCTGGTTCCAACCAAATACACTTTCTGGAACAAATCCATGTGTCTGTTTCTTTGTAAATCCTTTTCCTTCTGAAACTTCAGCCATGCTTCACCTGCCAAAGTCCTCCTCGTTCTTTAAGAATCAATTCAAGCATCATTTCTGAGAGGCTCTGTCCTGGCATCTTTGTCCTCTCCTGATGGGTCTGCTGCCTACACACACACACACACACACACACACACACACACACACACACACACACACACACCTTCAGTAGGATCCCTTCAGCCACAAGGACAGAAAACCCAAACCTAGGCTTAAACAATAAAGAAAAATGTATTATTGCCCAAAACAAGAAGTCCCAAGGTAGGATGACTCCAAAGCCTTCAGGGAACCAGGTTCTCCCATCTCCTAGCCCTGCTGTGGGAGGTGTGGGTGCTGTACTCCTCTTGTCCCAAAGTGGCTGCAGTTGCTCTGGATGTCACATCTGTCTGCACTAACAGCTGACAAAGGAAGTTGGCAGAGGCTACAAATCAGAGCCTCTTCCCCACCCCCACAGAGCCTGTTTACCAACATGTCACTGGGCATGAGACAGGTCTAGTTTAGTGTCCACAGAGAGGAAGAAATGTGAAGGAGGCCCCAGTGATAAAAAATTATCTGGGACGCTCATTAACAATACATATTCCCAGACTCTGGAATGTCCAAGGAAGTTTCCTGGGAAGGTACATGTGCCTCGCCCACGCTTCTCCCCTGCTGA